TTTGATATTGATATTTGTAAGTAATAATGAAAAATCTTACAAATGAAGAAATTGTTGAATTTAACGAACTATTTGATCCTGTTGGCACACGAAGCATTGAAAAATTATCAAAATTTCATTAGTTATTCAATTCTTAATGCTTCATGAGGATGTCTACACTCCCCTTTTCTACTTCGCATTCCAACCTTTATAAAAAAAATACATGACATATGATCCATTCAATTTGGTTAATCCGAATATATGTGGGTTCTAGAAGATTTTATTATTCTAAAGCAAAACACACAACCAGACCAAAGCCTAATAAGCCCAAGCCCAAGCCCAAACAGAATTATATTTAATAAAAAATAATATCTTTTGATGAGCCCGCAATCAAGCTTGCCTAAATTCTCCCCTCTTGAAGCATGGGTGCCCTAAGGGCGCAATTCAAAAGGGTAAAACTAGATATCTATATATATAAACTCAACTAGTTTTCTTCCATCTTTCTTCGTTAGTGAGACAATCATTCCCACAAACCCAGTTTCACCTCTATTCACCTGGAACTTTTTTGAAAAAATAAATATACTACGTTGTCGAAACATCACTAATTTCCAACCAATAGAACGAGACTTGGATGCATTTAAAGGATTTCTAGCTTGAATTTTGAGACAAACGGAAAAGCAACACTCATGGCTGACACATTTAATTACGTGACATTTCTTAATTGACGCATACTACCTAATAATTAGGTCCAAAAGTTACGATCTTTTACCCGTGTTCTTCTGAGTGAACCGAAAATGAGTTGTGGCTTTCAGGTGGTCAGAACGTTAGTAATGATGACATATGAGTGGTATATAGGACCTCACTTATTGGAATTGGGTCTGTCGGTAAAGGTTATAAATACGTGGGAATGAAAGAAGATTATTACATATATTTGTATCTATGCGTTTAGTCTAGTGGTACTACCACTGCACTCAAAATATCAAACCACTATTTTGATCAATCCAAATTCATATGAGTAATGATAGAAAAATCAAATGCTTACCCCAAATGTGCAGTGAACTTGAAGAGCTTGCCTAAGCCATCATGTTAAAATGTTGTTCACGTTATAAAAAGCCTTAGAAAAAAAAAAGGGAAAAAAAAATCTCCCAAATTGAAGTGAGGGAGAGAGCTTCCATGTCTGCAAATCATCTCTTGAAATTATAATTAGGGTTTCAATCAATAAAGTACACTGCTAGGGTTTTGAAATTATAAAATCAATAGACTTACCAAGAGTCCCATGCTTCAGAAAGAGAAGACTTCGAAGAAGGACAGTGACCATGATTGAGATCGTGATATTGAATCTATTTTATTTTTGCCAACAAAATGATTTATACATTGGAGCTATGTCATTTTTGGACTTGGCTGACCTATTTGTTGATGGGTACATGCTTAGACTAAGGAATGACAAAATAAAAATGAGATACTTTTACTCACAATACAATTTACTTGATTTGATGTGATAATTAATAATTGTTATAATTTTTTATTTTTTATTTTTTATTTTTTTGAAAAGTTGACAAAAGTTTTTATTAGATTCTATCTAGGATAACTTTAACCTGTAACCGTACTCCAAACAAAAATAGAATTTTTTTAATTATTGATGTCCATTATGAAACTATTTTCAACATAATTATAAAAACTACATTGTATTAATGTAAGCAAAATTACAATGTAAGAAAAATTTCTTGCATAATTGGTATTTGCTGTATCCCAAAATTCTTGTTTATCTTTTTATTTTGGGATGTCCAAAAATGCATGCTTCATATAAAAAATGAATGTATTATTTTTTTGGATAATGATCCTCTGTGGCCCTATCATGTGGTGAAGATTGAATCACTAGATGGACCCATTTCAACTCTCATCAAGTGAGATATAATCTCCACACTTGTTGGAGGCAGCAGAAAGGATCCAAGTCCATTTATGTATAATACATTCAAAGTATCATTTTGACTTTAACTTGATTAAACAAATAAGTACACTAAGTGTATACTACTCCTTTGCCTATTAAAAACCTAGGATTTTTAATACACGACAAGAATTTTGGGATGCATGAGTAATAAAGAGGGACCTTGCTATCAACGGGGTAGTGGCCTAGCAGTATTAGCTTTTTACTTTCTAAAAGGAGGTTAGGGGTTCAATTCTGAGAAGAGACAAATGTGTGTGAATACCAACTAAAAAAAAAAATAAGGAACAACCTTGCTCAAAGAGAGAGACTTCTTGCACCTTTAATACTTCATTATCTGTGCCTACACCTTTAATATTTCATTACGTGTGCCATCAATCAATTGAGTCCAATCACTATATGTCATTATTTAATAAATTTGTAATATTATGTTATCATTACAACCATTAAAATTTAAATTTTCTTTTGTTCAAACTGATAAAACAAAACCTGAGTCTGGTATGATTCACATCAATGCATTTTGTGATTTAGCAACCTATCACCCGAGAGAGCAACTTGTCACCTAGATTAACCACGTGACGGCCCACTCTAAGGGCAGCCGGTGTAATGCTAGCAATACCGGCTAGCAAGGCTTTGTTGGATTGCTAGCCACGTCAGCAATTGTGCTGATGTGGCTAGCAACAGTATATTGTTATCTTTTAGTCACAGTATGGGTTAATTGATATATATTATTTTATTATTTTTTTTTGTATTTTTTTAATACATATAATATTTTGAGTAAAAAAAATTTAAAACATATTTATTTTTTTGTTTGCTTGTATTTTTTAAAACGGCTACTTTTTCAACCACTTGAAATTTTTTTTATTATATATTTGAATAGAATACTTCTTTTAATACATTTAAATTAATATATTTTCTCATAATTAAATAAATAAAAAATACATTACGTATTTTTTCACAATTACATAAATAAAATAAATAAAAAGACATTACACATTTTCTCACAATTACATAAATAAAATAAAATAAAAGACATTATATATTTTCTCACACTTAAATAAATAAAATAAAAAGACATTGCATATTTTCTCACAAATATAAATAAATTACATATGACCACCACCTTCATTTAGTTTATTTAAGATTTGATTTTGTGGTTGAATGATCCATGCCTTTGATACTTTTGTTGGAGCCTTCGATGAATCTTGACGCATTATATCTCTTTCAAATTCTATTTCAGCCATCATTTCTCTTGTTTTTATTTCTAACTGTTTAGTCCGTTCTTTCTCCAAATTTGATTCCATCTCCAGCTGCTTAGTCCGTTGTTTCTCCATGGAAAGTTGAAGTCTCATTCGCTCTCCTTCCACACTTGCTTCACCAAACATGACGCCTTGTGCTGTTACAGCTTCCAATTGTTTAAGAATACTTGCTTCAAGATATGGCGTTTTCTTTTTACGAATCTTCCTTGCTTTTTGTCCCTCGGGACGTGACATATTCGAACCTTCGGTATCGACTGGTGTATCATCATCACCAAGATTTACTGACCCTGGAGTTGATACTGTAGGAGTTAATGAACCTGGTGTTGTTGGAGTCAATTCAAACCAATTTCTTGGCTCATTAATATCAAGATCAACACCTCTTTTCATTGGTCATGTAGTTAGATTTTCGTTAACGTTGCAATGCATCTGCCATTTTTCCGAATCCCGAAGAACATTCCAATAATGATCGTGTTTAATTTTTTTTTTTTTTCCTGTTGAAGTTTATATAGTTCTCTAACAATATTCATTTATAAAAAATAAATAATCATTGAAATTAATAAGTTGGATTAAAATTAATAATAATAAAATAGTGTACAAATTAAAAAATTACCATATCATACTCGTTGTAACCACTAATTGGATTGTCGTGGACATTTTTGTAGTATCCTAAAAATTTGTTTACATCACGTTGAAAGTTTAAAAAATAGTTCATCAGAGCACCGTGGGATCTTTCTTCCATTATCTTGTCTCCCAATTGCCTAACCTAATGAGCATGAATTCGTTGCCACAATGTACCCATACTTTGATTTGTACCCGTCACTGGATCTTCACCAGTCATGATCTATGCTTTGCACAATGCTATATCTTCTTCTTCGGACCAATTCCCACTCTTTTTCTTTGAGGGTGGCTGTGATTGAGAAGGTTGAGAAGAATTTTGGAATTGAGGTGTGTATGGGGGTTGTTGAGATGGATTTTGGAATTGAGATGTGTAAGGGTGACAAAATGGATTTTGAAATTGAGGTGTGTATTCTGAATAAATTTGGTTTTGGAATTATGACTGAGATGTATATTCAAAATGGATTGGATCTTGAGAGTGCCACCCTGAATTGAATTGAGATGGTATTTTAAAGTTTCCATATTAGTTAAAATGAGGGTTGTTGAATGGAGGTTGCTGATCCATTGAATGTCAAAGGATGATGATTTAGTGAAATGAGTGTTGAAGGATGAGAGAAATGAGTGTTGAAAGATGAGAGAAATGAGTAAAATGAGTGTCATATTTATAGAGATTGTTGTATATCCAACGGCTATATTCCCAATAGCTATATTCCCAATGGCTATATAAACCACTAATTTACTCTTTTCTAATTGCTCAAGTCCATTTTCTCTTCCTTCATTCCTCAAGTCCATTTTTCTCTTATTTGATTCCTCTACCACTTTTTCTCTTCTCTGAATTCTCAACTTTTATATAAGAAAAAAAATGGCTTCATCATCACAATCTTTTCAAATCTCAGAATCTGATTCTTCAGAAAATTCGTCAGATTCTGATCGGGAGACGGTTAAGGATCAAAACGATTCTGGGTATTTTTATGCCTGAGAATTTAAAAGCATTATTTAAACCAAAGAAGATATGATATATTAAACGTGATTGGGAGGATGCAACACAACAACTCTGGAAAAATTACTTCGCTGAAAATCCTGTGTTTCCACCTGAATACTTTCATAGACGGTTCCGAATGCGACGACAGTTGTTTCTTCGCATTTTGAACGATATTACAACTCATGACAACTTTTTCAAATAAAAGCCCAATGCTACTGGTCGTATGGGGTGCACCCTTATACAGAAGATGACAGGAGCAATACATATACTTGCCTATGGAATTTCAACGGATCTTTGTGATGAGTACATAAAGGTTGGAGAGCGCACTGCGATCGAAAGCTTAAAGAGATTTTGTGATGCTGTAATTGCATTGTATTCCCCCTACACTCGCCAAACAAAAGCGACATTGCACGTTTACTTCAAGAAGGGGAAGAAAGAGGATTCCCAGGTATGCTTGGGAATGGAAGAATTGCCCTAAAAGGTGGCATGGCACACACAAGGGGAGAGGTCGTAAGCCTACCCTTATATTGGAGGCGGTTGCATCAAAAAATCTATGGATCTGGCATGCTTTCTTTGGTATGGCTTGTTCACACAATGACGTGAATGTCTTAGATCATTCCTCAGTATTCAATCGTATCATTAATGATATAATGCCTCCAGTTAATTACGAGGTGAATGGACATCACCATACGTTGGGGTATTACCTATCTGATGGTATATATCCTAAGTAGGCAACTTGGATTCAAACCATCCCGCACCCAACTATTGGAAAAGAGAAATTGTTTGCTCAAAGATAAGAAGCCGTTAGGAAGGATGTTGAACGGGCATTTGGTGTGTTGTAGATAACGTGGGTTATAACACATGGACCAGTATATTATTGGAAGAAAGAAGACCTGAGCAAGATAATGAGAACGTGCATCATATTGCACAACATGATCATAGAAGATGAGGGTGACACTAATATTTTGGAATGGACACCTCCAACAGATGAGTCGGTCTACAATCGAGACCGATCATTTTTGGCAGCACACATCTCCACTCGCCTCAGCAGGATTCGCAATGTAGAAAATAATGGAGATCTTAGGAGAGATCTTATGGAGCATTTGTAGAATAAATTTGGTAATGAAGAGGTTTAACGATAATATTGAGTAAAATGTATTTCTTCATATTGTATGTTTGTGATGAATAAAATATTACTTTATAATTTTTTTTTTCTTATATATTTGTTGACAAATTTTAAAAAATAAAAAAAAAAATCATAAAAAAAATTTTTACAATAAAATTAAATTACATATAAAAGGAAATAGTAAAGAAAAAAAAAAAAAAAAAAAAACCATTTCTAACAATATGATTTTTTTAATAAAAAATTCATATATATTTGTTGACAAATTTTTTTTAAAATTTTTTTAGAAGATTAAGAAATAGAAATCATAAATATTTATTTCAAAATAAAAAATAAAATAAAATAATCAAAATCATAAATATTTTTTTTACAATAAAAATAAATTACATATAAAAAGAAATAGTAAAGAAAAAAACCTAAAAAAAAAAAAAATGAAAAAGAGCCGTTGCAGCAGTTGTGGGCCTTGTTTGGCTCGCAATAGCATTGTTACCTATTGCGATGTCCTTTGCTATTCTTCTCGGGGTTCCACAAATTGCTAGCCTTATACCAAAACAAACAGTAGCAATACTGGCTCCCTAACCAGCAATAAAGGCTTTTTACCGGTTACTCTAACGCTCAGTCGCTTACGATAAAGCTTCGGTCCCATAAACTAGTGGTAGACATTCCCTAGCTTGTCACGTGGTATAGTACGTCTCCCCGTGGCCTCATGTTTATTTTTTTCAAAAAGTTGAGCAACTAATATAAATATAATGTGTAATTACATGTTGGGCCTTTTCCCAAAACCCAAATGGCAACTAGTAGCAGAAGAGAGCTAAAACAAGTACATGCATACCCCGATGCAGCAGGTGTCCTGATGACAGACGCTCTACCGGTGGTTATTGCATTTTTCTTGGGTCCAATCTCATTTCATGGACCTCTAGGAAACATGCAACTGTCTCATGTTCAAGTACGGAGGCCGAGTATCGGTTTCTTGCTAAAAAAACCACTTCTGAGCTTCAATGGATTCAGTCTCTTCTTAAAGAACTTGGTATTTTTTGCCCACACCTCCTACCTTATGGTGTGACAATCTTGGAGCTACATACCTTACTGTCAGTCCTATGTACGTTTCACGCACACACCAAACATATTGAAATTGATTTTCATTTTGTGCGTGACAAAGTGGCATCTAAAAATTTAATGGTTCAGTTCATCTCTATCAAAGATCAAAAGGCCGACATCTTTACAAAGCCATTGGTCGAATCGCTTCGCTATCCTACGTGACAATATCAACATCATGGAACTTCCGCTTCGCTTGAGGGGGCCTATTAAGGCAGTAAATGATATTCCAGATAGCAGCAAGATTCAGTCTTCTCAAGATAACAAGAGCAACAATAATTCAAAACTCAAAATGTAATGCAAAGGATAAGTTTGAATAGTCTTAATTCCTATTTATTCCTATTTAACTGCTGACAAAATACTCCGTAATATGCATACATACATCATATATAGAAAGATATAGAGAGAGACAGACAGACAGAACCTGCATGCATTATCCATAGGGAAACAGTTACTGGCATGGCAGAATTTCATAAAAAGGGCTAACAGTCACCCGACTCACCCTCCACACAAGTACTGGCATCAACTAGAATCCTTTTCATCTTATTAACGAGCTCTTGCATCTGTTTCCTCGAATGCAATGGCGATGGGTACACACAGGCACAGTCCAGTTCTCCATCCCGTATCGTGTCGAAGATGGCAATAGACGGGCCCACTCCGTGAACCGAAGCGCACCCAAGGTAGTCCTCCAGTCCGATCTCTCGCAGCGACTTGTTAGAATGGTCGATCACAGAGTCCTCAAACACAGAAATGAAGGAAGTCCTCAGGGATGATGATGGAGTCAAACCAGGGTTGTCAATTGCCTTGCACATGAGAAAATTGAGGTCTGCCATGTCTGAGAAATGTTTGTTGTTGTTCTTAGCATCCGCAAAGGCTGTGTAGGTTCTCTTTGCCAGCTCCCAGAAATTTTCACCTCCTCGTATGCCATGTGTGTTTACGATGGCAGAATGGTAAAACCCTGAATTTGTTTTAGGGTCACCATGTTCAGTGCACCAAGTAAACATGCAGAATAATATCACATACAAAATAAAATGTCTGTTTTGGATTATTTCATCTGATTTAGTGATTTAATCAGTTTTGATTTAAAATTCGATTTGATCAAATGATATAAATTGATTATAGGCTTAAGTAATAAATCAATTTAATCATAATCAGCTCTTAAAATTGATTACTTTTTTCAAATAGGATCAATGTTTAAAGCAAATAATCTGACAATTCAAGCAATATATATGTATATATAACTCACCAAATATCATTTACAACAAGATTATTTAAGTCTAAATCAATTGTTTGTGTAACAATAAAAGCCATTTTATATTACTCTAACTAGATTATTACAAAGAGCACACCACAGAAAAGTAAACACCACATATAAAGAACACAAAGATTTAGTATGGTTCGACAGAGCTTATATCTACGGTAGAGATAAGCAAAAATCCTCACTATACTAAAAATAGGAGATTACAAGTTTCAGCCTCTTACTCTCTTTCTATGCGATTTTCAGTGTGTCTCTATCTCTCACTTCAAACCCTAACACCCTTATATATCAGGCTTCAAAGAGAGTACTAATTAGGGTCCATGACCCACGAGCAAAAAACAAATTAAAAACCAAGCTCATCCAACAAGCCACGTTGACACCAAATTCAGGCCACAACAACACAGACATAAATATTTGGCTACAAACTGAGTAGAGAAACTCTTCAAGAGCTCTTGCTCTTGCTCTGCATATCCTCCAACTTCATTCATTTATGAGAAGGCCTAAGATAACAAAGGATATGTGTTGATAAGTCTATTCAATGCACATATTTGACTTGGGTTTATCATTTTGAGGCCTAATGGGCGAACCGGAATGAGTCTCGTTGACATAATTCATTATTTGGTGCAATGACAAAAACTAGAATGAGTTGGGTTTGATGACAACTAAGAAAAGGTACTTCGGGAAATAACAATTGGGTATGTTTCTAAGCTTCCCTCCTAATAGCTTAAGTAAGCAGGGATATATATTAGATAATGGACACAGATTGGGGTTGAATTTATGCCCATTATAATATGGTTGGATTTAAACTTGACATGGTGTCAAGTAACACAAGTTATCCTCAAAGTGCCATAGCCAAGTTTGGTTGTGGTAGGAAATATTTTAAGCAGCTAACTGTTAGGGAAGTCGCTTGAGGCACCAACGGGTCAGTAGTTTAACGGTATCAGTCTCTTACTTTTTAAAAGGAGGTTAGGGTTCAAGTCTCAGCACAGATATGTGTATGTAAGTACCAACTAAAAAAAAAGAAGTCGCTTGGGGCATAGAGACTAGGGTCTTACCAAGATGGTGGCTGCTAAGAACTGGGTCAAGAATCGAACGGCAGTCGATGAGGGTCACAACTGCATACTTCTCCCACTGATCATCAGGAAGGTCTTTAGAGGATCGAGCAGCAATTAATCCGGCAGCTGCCAAGGCCCCGCATAGTCTGATCCCTCTTGACTTGCAACCCTGCAAAATTTGTACCATAAACCCTTTTTCTTTTAGTTTTTCAATGTCAGCTATAAGAATGGAACCCTTGATAGTAACCATCCATTTTAAACATCATTTTACTTGAAGCACAACATTTGAAAATGCCTTGACTAAAGCTTTATTAGCCCACATGCATGTCCACTGGTAAAGCCAATGGGGTAATTCAAGCACAAACAAAGAGTAACAATCAAGGAGGAGAAATAAGCAAGTTTGTCAAGCTCCTTTTCAAAACTGAGTTGCCGTGTACGTAATAGTAGCTTTTATCAATTGATCATTATGTACCATAAATTTATTATTATTTTCTAAAGCATAAAAATAAACCAACACCAACAACTCTACAAGTAAAGTATTTGATCAAAGGACATCATCTTCAATATCTGATCTATTGTTTCAATCATTTTAAAATGTTTTCAACAAATTTTGGGGAAAAAATAAAAACAATCTACGGATTATTATGGAAGACGCCTTTCGAAATTACTCAATTAGATGTATTAGGTGTATAGCATGTTTTTCATAGCAGAAAAATAATACTACTACATTCCTAGATTGATTGCAGGCCAGAGTCCCAAGGTAACAAATGAATATATATATATATATATATATATATATATATATATATATGATGATGATGACGACGACGACGACGACGACAACTTACAGAAATAATCCCATGAGTGTGTTGTGACGCTATCTGCAACCTGACCACCTGGGAAGCTCTTGGGGAATGGACATCTCTAAAGTCTAAATTTGACAACTTGAAAGAATTCAAAGAGTCGCCCAACATGTCCACTCCTCGTGCCCAAAAAGGCTTTTTATCTTTACCACTCGGAATATAATCCTCAATTCCCAAACTAATAACCTCCTCCTGCAGCCCACCACTGCCTGATTCCCCCTCCTCCTTCCCTCTCATCCTCAATATCAACAACTCCAACAGCTCCCTCAGCAACCACACCCCCGCCATCCGGTCACACGCCGACGTATGAAGGCGGAGCGCCACCACCCACTTCTCATCACTTAGACTGTACACGCTGGCAAAGAGCACGTCGGTGTCGTCACTACTAGTACTAGCACTATTCCTACTCCAGGTGTTTCGATTCAATTCGTGTTCGAGGATCAGGTGGAAGGGATCAGAGTCAAAGGAGTTGTCGTCGTCGTTGTCGTTAGTGGTTTGGAGGACGTGAGCCGTCGATGGAAGATCGAACCATTGGATTTGGAAGAGATCTAGAGGGCTGGTAGGTGGTGTCATGTATCTGTAGGAGAATGTGTTGCTGTAATTGGTGGTGGGGGTGTCGGTGTGGAGCTTGGACCGGAGTATAGGGTGGGTAATTTGGAGGTTGTGGAGGGCATTTTGGAGAACTGACAAGTCTGGGGTTTTTGAGAGGAGAAGACCCAGAACAGTTATGCCGGTGCCACCGGGCACGGCCTTGCACCAGCTGTACTCGGTGCCGCCGACGGGTCGGCCCTTGGGCTCCTCCACTGCCTGTGGCTCGCTGTTCTGCTGCTCAGACATACTCCTATCCATAGAAGAGCAAGAGATACTTTAAAATTGTAGTAGCAATTTGGAAAAGAAAAGATAAGAGGTAAATTGCAAGAAATCGCCGTGATGATTTGCCTTTTTTATTTTTCCCAAACATTTTTGGCATTTAGGTATTTTTATTTTATTGTCGGATTATGTTTTTTTGGTAAATGTATTTATTTTATTTAAATGGCATTTAATTATTTCATGAGGGTATGGTGGACTTTTTCCATGCAAGTGGTATGGAAGAAATTTGGTAGTGATTGGAGGGTTTTTTAGTCATTGCACAAGGTCTATTTTTCACTATCATGAGAACTTGCCACATAGGCTGGACACTTGTTCACATTTGGCTTGTGCTTAGTATAATTCTATATGCATATGTACGAGGATATGTTCTGCATAAGCCAATTTCGTGCCTTTTATTTTCCTTCCATACTCGCTCTGTTTAAACTCAATTTTGAAGGCCTTTTTGATGAGATTTTGAAGTTGGGTTGTGAATGAAAGTTATTCCCAAAATGATGAGCTTTCTTTTGGTAAAAGGGTTGTGTGTGTTTCCAAGCCTGGTTTTCAAAAAAAGAGAGGGGGGGGGGGGGGGGGGGGGGGGGGGGGGGGGGTTTCAATGAAGAAAGGGTGGTTGTGTTTTTAAAGAAATGTTCTTCATTTTCTTCATTGTTGGCGATTCAATTTCTCTCTTTTGGTGATTTGGATTGTTGGTAGCAAGGGTTTCAAGCTTCTTTTGAGGCAGGGTTGTTTAAATCTCACAGTTTTTGTCTTTGGTGAGTCAATTTTATTTATTTTATGCTGAAACTTAAATTTGACAACTAAATTGTGTTTTCTTTCCATGATAAGGTGTACACTTGAATATTGAAATTGTTGTTAAGTTCTTGTTGCTATTATGATATTAGTGTGGAAAGGAAACATGCCTAAAGGGTTTAAGTTTAATGTGAATACAACCAAAACTTAATGTGATGATGTTGAGTTGATTTTGCTAATGAGCATGCAATAATTTATAGAAATAGAATTGATAATATTCATTGTGTATGGACAGAGATTGAATTCTTGATTTTAAAATGTTGTACATTGTATCATTATAAATGTACGTTCATCTCGCATGGTTTGGGGATGAATTTGGGACAGAAAGGAAAGTAGAGACATCTCATTAGACGGTTGTTGATAAAAGAAGTAGAAATGAATAATTTGAGAGTCGGATGATGGGAATTACATCGTGTCTAGGTCGTTAATGGATCTAGAGAAGACGTAGGGATATACCATGCGTATGGTTGAGTCAATAGGCCCCAAATGGCACTGGAGATTACTCAGTGTGACGGTTTGCATTTTATCATTTTCGGATTATGCATGATTATGATTATTTTGCAAATGGATTTAATTTTATTTAAATGTCATTTGATTACTTAAGAAAGGGTATTGTGGTCATTGTCATGCAAAATGTCGTAGTTGGCATTTGGTTATTTAATGAGGGGTATTATTGATCTTTTGTATGTAAATGACATACTTGGTATTTGATATGAGTTGGAGGGACATAATAAACTTTTTCTATGCAAAGGATGTGGATGGGAATTGGTATTGTTTAAAGAGCTTTATGGTCATTTTACATAGTCCTACCTTTGACTATATGTGTGGGCTTGACACCTATGTACATGATGAGGCTCCTTATGTTTATCTGTATCTCGTATGAATTGTGAGAAGGATAGGTACAAAGTGTATTGCCGTCGAAATTTCCGACCTTTTTCTTTTCCTCCGTAGTCACTTCCTTTACTTGCATATTTAGAGTCCTTGTGTTGAGAATTTGAAGTTGGTGTATGAAGGAAAGATGTTCTTGAAGTCATAAACTTCCTTTTTGGTGTAAAAGTTGTGAGCATATTCCCACCGTGGGGTTGTCAAAAACTGTATTGAAAAAGAGGGTTTGGTTATGCTACACAAAGGGGTGTTTAACATTCCTTTCATTTTGGTGGCTTTGATTCCTTCTCGGAGTTGCTTTAAATTGTTGTTTAGCAAGATTCAAGCTCATTTTGAGGTAGGGTTGTTTAAATCTCATAACCTTTAAATTTGGTGAATTATATCTCTTTAATTGAATGTTATTTACTTGAAAAAGAAAATAAATAAATAAATAAACTTGAATTGAGAACCATCTATTGGTCCTAAGGTTTCTTAAGACTTGTTTGCCTGTTTAGTGTCAAAAAGCTTTGGTTTAGTGGCCTTAAGTGTATACCTTATCTGCATTGAGGCTTAAAATATGATACTGGGGTATCATTGTCATTTACTTTTCAGTGACAGACTCTACACATTGACATATGTTGTTTCATCATAGCTTGTATACCTGGTTTATCTAAATTGGCTATGATAATTGAGGTTCAAAGTATAAAGATTAGCTACAGGTGTTTACAAGGGTGTTTGATTCTTTTTTCAGTTATATTCTAGGTGTACACGTATGCCTAGCTTGCTGCATTGCACTGAACAGGTGTGGTTGTGTCTACATTGTGGTTAATTCAATTTCAGCAATAGTATTGTGCTGAGTGCAACATACAGCTGTTACAAGGGTGTTTTTTGGGTTTTCCTTGGTATGCTTAGGAGTGTGACACGTGGCTGTGGTCCATGGTGATATAATCCTCCAATGACATTGAAGAGTTTAGAGGCTAAGCAAAAAGAGATATACTTCATTGTAGCCTCACCTATATGAACTGAGTTTACTGGTGCATAAGGTGGAATTTTGTGGTGAGATATCAAGGGTAATTGTGTCCTTTTACTGAGAGAATGTCAGAATTGTCCTTATACAATCATTGGCTCAAAGGTGACAGCAATGTATTCAGTGTAAAGTAGCTAAATATTTGTATTGCGCTATATACATGCTGTTATAGGAGCCTTTAGGGTTTTTAGGCCTTAAAAATCCACTGAAAGTTAAGCTGCAGCTAAGAACTCTCGAGAACCTCATGTTGAACAAGTTTTTCTTTTATCTTTGATGATGATTCATGCAAGAAAAACCCACTGATTCAAGCCTTGTGTGAGTACTAAGTGCTGAGATGCTACTGTTGTGAAAATTGCTGATGCAAGGGCTGGTCTGAGTAGTGAAAAATTGTTCCAAGCTATTGTGGTTACTTTTGAAGTCTGTCATAGGTATAAACAAGCTTTTTACACTTGCTCAACTCTTGGTTTTGAACATAAGCATGCTAAAATTGAATTTGTACTTTTAGATCAGTTAATTAATTTGTTTTTCTGGTTTAATCTGTGATTCAAGTACAAAATGGTTAAGTCTAGCTATTCTATGGATTATCTATCTACTAGCGAGTTTATATTGGTGAATCAAAGCTATTGAAATTGGCTGTGGAGCAAAATATTAGTGCGCTATGATATTGACTTTGTAAAACCCTAAAACAGTGCTGTTTTTTGCTTGATAAAACACTGTGACTAGACTTTGTGATATACTCATGCTATACTTGACTGTTTGAAGATATGAACATGAGTAATACAATGAAATAAGACTGTGGAAGCTACTGGTGGATTGATCTCGAAGGAAAATTCCTATTTTACCCCTCAAACCCTAACTGCAGCAGATTGGTGTTTTGAGGTAGTAACTTGGAGTTTTGAGCTGTCTAACCTATTTCAATTGTAGGAAGGACTTGATTATATTGTTTATCATCTGTAATGGTGTGTGTGGTGAGCTATATGAGCTTATTTGGTCCAAGCAAGGGTGCTTAGGATAGGGGGAGTATTTGTGTGCACTGTAATCAACTAGTGTGTGTATTGGTTGTGAAAACTAGTATCTATTCTTGTGCTTGAATGTGTGTAGAGAGTGAGACAACTGAGTGTGTAACAAGGTACATCCAGCTAGTAGTGGACTTTATTGACTGAGGCCAAGAACCAAGGTTTTTCCCCAGTTGACTTGTTTTAGTGTTCTTTGTGTGCTTGTTTCTATACTTAGTTAATCTGGTTAAAAAAAAAAGTTTAATCAATTCACCCCCCTCTTGGTTCAACACCATCTTCTCGAGCAGGTGACTGTGATATTTATTATGTTAATAAGCATGCTAGAATTTTAAAAGAATTTAATTGATAATGTTTATTGTATATGGACATCAATCAAATTATTCATTTTAATATTTTGTACATTATATCATTATGAATGTACATTCATCTCGCATAGTTTGGGGATGAGTTTGGAATGGGAAGGAAAGTGGAGACATCTCATTAGATGGTTGTTGAGAAAAGAATTAGAAATGAATGATGTGAAAGTTGGATGTCAGGGATTACCTCGTATCCAGGTCATTAATGGATCTAGAGAAGACGTAGAGACATACTCTGCGTGTGGTTGAGTCACTGGGCCCTAAATGACGCTGGGGATTACCCTGGGTAAGGGACAGATGACCAATTTTCTTCTCGTTGTGCTGGGGATTACCCTAGGCCGGATACATTAACAGTTGGAATATGTGGATTAATTGAGGCTTCTGGAAATGGGAAGTGTCTTTGGCATTGGCATTAGCATTGCACACTTCATTTTATTATCTCACATGATATTATTTTCCCTAGCCTGTATGATCCCTTTATCTGTTCTATGTGTGGATTCACGAAGGTATTAAGGATCTTATATCTATTCAATGTGTGGATTCATAGAGGTATTAAGGATCTTATATCTATTCTATGTGTAGATTCACGGAGGTATTAAGGAGTGCGCTTTAGGAAACTCCTACTGAGCTGTGGTTGTTCACTCCTATTTTATACACATTTTTTCAAGTCAGGGAAAGGAAGTCATAAAAGACGTTCCTCCCCAACTGTAGACAGATTTAGGACTGGTGGTCGTCGTGTTTTTTTTTATTTTTTTATTTTTTTTTATTTTTAATACAATGTACATAAGTGAGACAGTGTTGGATAATGTTAGTTCAGTTGTATCCCTGTTATGTAATAAATGTTATTACAAACTTTGAGACTTCATGATTGTAATAAATGTATCTTACATGTATACTTTCCTGCGTGGTATTATGATGGGAATGGAAAGGTTCACAGGTTTACAGGGATATTTATGTTTATAAGACCTTGGTTATTTGTGTGGTGAGTTTACAATCCAGACTTCTGTCTTGGGGCGTTACACTCTAGGTTAGGGATAAATGACCAATCTTCTTCTTGTGGTGCTGGAGATTACTCTGGGCTGGATACATTAACTGTCGAGGTGTGTTGTTGGTTGGTCTCTCGAGAAGTTGGGAAGTGACAGTGGCATTGGCATGGCATTGCATTGCACTTCATTTTATTGTTTCACGTGATATTATTTTCCCGAACTTGTATGATCCCTTTATCTTATATCTATTCTATGTGTGGATTCACGGAGGTATTAAAGAGTGCACTTTAGGAAACTACTACTAAGCTATTGTGCTCATTCCTATTTTATACACATCTTTTCAGATCATGGTAAGGAGGTCGTAGAGGACGTTCCTCCTTAGCCTTCGGCAGAGTTGCGACTGGTGGTTATGGTATTTTTTTTTTTTTTTTTTTTTTGCATAAAAGACAATGTATATTAGTGAGACAATATTGTATAAAGTTGGTTCAGTTACATCCCTGTTATGTAATAAATGTTATTACAGACTGTAAAACTTTAAAGTTGTAATATGAGTATCTTACCTGTTTGTTTTCATGTACAGTATTATTATTGGAATGGATAGGTGGATGTGTATGTGGAGACAAGTTACAGGGACGTTGATGTTGTTGAGACCTTAGTTATCTGTGTAATATGTTCACAATCTGGACTCCGGTCATGGGACGTGACAATTATTTTCCTGAGCTTGTATGATCCCTTTATCTTATATCTATTCTTTGTGTGGATTCACGGAGGTATTAAGAAGTACGCTTTAGGCAACTCCTATTGAGTTGTTGTGCTCATTCCTATTTTATACATATCTTTTCAGATTATGGCAAGGAGGTCGTAAAGGACGTTCCTCCCCAACCTTAGACAGAGTTGGGATTGGTGGTTGTGGTATTCTCTTTTGCATAAAAGGCAAGTGTATATTAGTAAGACAATGTTGTATAAAGTTGGTTCAGTTACATCCCTGTTATGTAATAAATGTTATTACAGGCTCTAAGACTTTAAAGTTGTAATATGAGTACCTTACCTGTTTGTTTTCATAGACGGTATTATTATGAGAATGGATAGGTGGATGTGTATATAGAGATAGGTTACAGGGATGTTGATGTTGTTGAGACCTTTGTTATCCGTGTAATATGTTTATAATCCGGACTCCGGTCTTCGGGCGTGACAAAGGTGGTATCAGAGCATGGTTCCTTAAACCTAGGGACGACGGGTAGAGGCCTGTCTACAGCTACAAGTGTAATGATTTGCATTGTCTTACATGTTTATGTGATTACTTGTTACTTGTTTTGCAAGCATACTTATGCGCTTATGTGACTACGTGTTTATCTGCTTAAAATGAAGCATGCTATATGTTTAAAGGTTTTCACTCATGACAAGTTAGTTTTGGGACTGTTGTTAGTGTTGTCATTTCTTGACGAGTGTTTCATCTATTTTGAGTATGCCGCCTCGTCGGAAGTATAAGACACTTGGAGGCCTGGGAGATAGGCATACTGTTGGACATGTTGGGGAGAGTTCCGCATCTCATCCTGTTGGACGGGAGGATATTCGGCCACCCACAGTTGAGGGTGAGGGGTCAGCCTGGCACGTGCTGACTACTCCTTTTCAAGATGTGTTGAGGACGCAGCCAGCTCCTTAGATAGTCCCATAATCAGTTGTATTGGCAGAGGAGGCTGAGACAGAGAGACGTCTCAAGCTTATGTCCAGATTTGTTAAGCTTATGCCTACACTGTTTGAGGGTAGTACAGATCCTTTGTTCGCAGATAACTGGCTTGATCAGGTTGAAAAACATATTTTTACCTTGGCAGTAATAAGTGATCACTTGAAAATTCTTTTGGTTACTTATAACTTCACTAAGGATGCCAAATTGTGGTGGAAGTCTGTGTCTAATAGGCTAGATGCAGAGACACTGCCATAGAATGTTTTTAAAGAGTTGTTTTATGACAAGTTCTTTCTGGTAACGAAAAGGTGGGAGTTGCATAAGGAATTTGACTCTCTTTTCCAGAGCAATAGTATGTCAGTGACAAATTATGGGAACAGATTCACTTCTCTTTCTCGTTTTGCTCTGGAAATTGTAAGTAAGGAAGAGGATAAAGTCCACAAGTTTATACAGGGACTCCATTACCAGAACAGGCCTATTGTGATAGCACAGTGCCTTAAGGGTTATTCTGAGGCTTTTGAGAGGGCATTAATTGTTAAAGTCAAGCTGAATGATAGAAATCAGACTCGAGAACAATTGAGGCAGAGATAGGTCAGTGGTTTAGAGAGAGAGGGCCAGTCTGGTAAAAGATAGAGAGGTGGTCCATCTCAGTCTGGAGGGTAGCAGCCAGTATGACCTGCTCTTATGACTCCTGTGCAATCGAGGTCGGGTAGGGGTGGAGTTATATATTTTCATTGTTAGCAGCCAGGGCATTTTAAGATTGAGTGTCCGCAGTTGACTGTTGCCTCAAGGATTTGTTTTAGATGTGGTCAGTAGGGCCACAAGGTGAAAGATTGTCTGAGGAGAGCTGGGCGCTCCAGTAGTGGTTATGGTTCGCAGCAGAGGCCATCTCAGTCGGCCATAACACAGTTTCACTGGTCAGCAATTGGGGATTCATGCTGGAGAGTCACAAGCCCAGGCACCTCAGGGTCATGTGTATGCAGTTGTCCTTGAGTCATCTTCAGGACCTTCAATGGTGAGGGGTATGTTTCTTGTTTTTGGATCTTGGGCTCGTATTTTATTTGATTTCGATATATTTCATACATTTATTTCATGCACATTTGCACTTGTATCGGGATTGGAGATCAGTTTTTTTGGACCGAGTGTTATGTGTTGATACGCTGATTAGTGGTTCATTGGTTTTGAATAGAGTGGTGTGGGATTGCACTATTATGATTGCGGTGCAGACTTTAGTTTTTGATCTTATCATTCTTGAGATGGCGGGGTTTGACGTCATTCTCAGGATGGATTGGTTGTCCACATTTCATGCCACGATAGACTGTTTCAGGGGTATAGTTTCAGTTTGTACGCCTGAGGGCGATTGTTTCTTTTTTGTGGGAGATCGGGGTGATTTCCATGTTTTAGCCTGTTATGGCGTTCGTGGTCGAGATCGTTGTGCTTTTATCTTGGCTAGCATTCTAGCTGAAGAAGATGGTGATGTGGGGATCCGTTGGTTGTTTGTGACTTCTTGAATGTGTTTCCGAATGACTTGCCGAATTTACCTCCTAGAAGAGAGGTTGAGTTTATGATAGACTTGATGTCTGGTACTACGCTGATTTCTATGGCTCTGTATCGTATGGCACCAGTAGAGCTGGAAGAGTTAAAGAAGCAGCTTGATGATTTAAGGCTGAAGGGTTTTATTCGGCCTAGTGTTTCACCGTGGGGCGCGCCAGTGTTGTTTGTTAAGAAAAAGGATGGTTCTATGAGGTTATGCATTGATTATTGAAAATTAAATCATGCAACTATCAAGAACTAGTATTCTTTACAGTGGATTGATGATTTATTTGATCAGTTGAGGGGAGCTATTTACTTTTCCAATATTGATTTGAGATCTGGTTTTTACCAGTTACGTGTTCGGTATGAGGATATTCCGAAGACATCTTTCCGTACACAGTATGGTCATTATGAGTTCATTGTGATGCCTTTTGGTTTAACTAATGCACCAGCAGCATTGATGGACATGATTTCCACAGATATCTAGACCAGTTTATGGTAATGCTTGTGGATGACATTCTTGTGTATTCACGATCTCGGGAGGATCACGAGATCCATTTAAGGATAGTGTTGCAAATGTTAAGAGACCACCATTTATATGCTAAGTATTCAAAGTGTGAATTTTGACTACAATAAGTGAAGTTTTTGAGACATGTTGTTTTAGGTAATGGTGTGTTAGTTGATTATTCGAAGATAGAAACAGGTTTGAATTAGGAATGTCCCAAGAATGTGTTCGAGATTCACAGTTTTCTTGGTTTAGCGGGTTATTACCGCAGATTTGTGAGGGACTTTTCTCGTTTAGCCGCTCCCATGACTCGGTTGACCCGAAAGGGAATTTGATTTGATTGGACTGAAGCTTGTGAGTCATCTTTTCAGGAATTGGAAACGAGATTGACTACGGCTCCAGTGTTGGTGACACCTCAGTGTGGTTTGGGTTATGTTATATTTTGTGATGGGGATAGTTTGTGTTGTGTGTTGTTGCAGGGTGGTAAGGTGGTGGCTTATAGATCTAGAAAGTTGAAGATTCACGAGCTTAATTATCCCACTCATGATTTAGAATTGGCAGCAGCCGTTTTTACTTTGAAATGCTAGAGGCATTACTTATATGGTGAGAGATTCGAGGTGTTCTCAGATCACAAGAGTCTCAAGTACCTTTTCTCTCAGAAGGACTTGAATAACAGATAAAGGCGATGGGTTGAGTACTTGGAGGATTATGATTTTGATTTACAGTATCATCCGGGTAAGGCAAATGTGGTAGTAGATGCCTTAAGCCAAAAGTCTCGTGGAGTTTTAGCTGGGTTAGCCATTCAGAAATGGAAGATGTTGGAGAATCTGGAAGAGATGGGATTACAGTGTTGTGATAGTAGTGTTGGCAGTGAGTTAGTTTTTCTGTTTAGTGTCGTGGCTTAGCCTACTCTTGTCACTTGAGTGATTGAGTCACAGAGATAGGATTCAGACTTAGCTGCCATTCATTAATTGATTTCAGGTGAGGACACAGTAAAAGACTGGACCTTACACACGGATGGTGGTTTACGGTTCAAAGGTTTGATTATGGTTCCTACAGTTTGTCGAGAGGATGTATTATGGGAGTTTTATACTTTTCGTTTTACTATTCATTCAGGTGGTACTAATTATATGTATCACAATTTAAGACGCCAGTATTGGTGGAATGGGATAAAGAAGGATGTGGCTCAATTTGTTACTAGATGTCTTACCTGTCAACAGGTAAAGACAAAACATCAAAGACTTGCCGGTCTATTACAGCCATTGCAGTAGAGTAGTGGGAGTGTATTACCATTGACTTTGTGGTTGGGCTTCTGAGGTCATAGAGGGGTAATGAGGTTGTATGGGTTGTTATTGACAGATTGACCAAGATAGCTGACTTTTTTCCTGTTAAGGCAACAGATACTGCAGAGACACTTTGCAGATTGTATGTTAGGGAGATAGTGAGATTACATAGGGTTCCGGTGTCCATTGTTTCAGACAGGGATGTCAAGTTCATATCAAAATTCTAGGAAGGACTTCATACAACATTTGTTTACCATTGCATTTTAGTACGGTATTCTTTCTTTTGACGGACGGCTAGTCGAAGCGTACTATCCAGATCTTGGAGGATATGCTTTAGGCCTTTGTACTTGATTTTGGTGGTAGTTGGGACGATCATTTACCTCTTGTTGAGTTTGCCTACAATAATAGCTATCAGTCGAGCATTAACTAGGCTCCTTTTGAGGCGTTGTATGGTTGGCCTTGTCGTTTTCCAATGTGTTGGACTGAGGTGGGTGAGGCAGTTGCCTTAGGACCCGATATTATTTTAGAAACTACAAAAAAGATTAAGTTGATTCGGCAGGGATTCCTTACTGCTCAGAGCCGATAAAAAAGTTATACGGATAGACGGAGACGGCCATTATCCTTTGAGGTGGGAGACCACATGTTTCTTAAGGTTTCTCCATGAAAAGGATTACTACGGTTTGGAAAGAGTGGCAAGTTGTCACCTTGTTTCATTATGTCGTTTAAGATTATGGATCGTGTAGGCGAGGTTGCTTACAGGTTAGCATTACCAACACAGATATATAAGGTTTATAATGTGTTTCATGTTTTGATGTTATGAAAATATGAGCCAGATCTATCTCATATGTTGAATTGGGCTGATGTTGACATTAATGAAGACATTTCTTATGAGGAGGGACCCGTTCAGATTTTTGACACTTAAGACAAAGTGTTAAGGGGTAAGATGGTATCTCTCGTTAAGGTTTTATGGCGACACCACGGTGTCGAGGATGCTACTTGGGAATGAGAACAGGATATTCGTTCCGCGTATCTGAGTTTGTTTTCTTCCCCAAGTATGACTTTATTTCGAGGACGAAATCCTTTTATGTTGGGGAGGCTGTGATGATTTACACTTTTTCATTTCTCTCGGACATTTTGGCATTTACGTATTTTTATTTTATTGTCGTGATTATGATTATTTTGCAAATGTATTTATTTTATTTAAATGTCATTTGATTATTTCATGAAAAACATGGTGGACTTTTGCTATGTAAGTGGCATGGAAGAAATTTGGTAGTGGTTGGAGGGTGTTTTAGTCATTGCACAAGGTCTTATTTT